CTTAGATGTTTTCTACATATCAAAATAAATACATCATTAAGAAATCACATTATGAAGAGAACAATAAATACAAGATTAAAGGTGGAAAATGTATGAAAAAAAAAGTTTAGCTAGTTGTTTAAGAGCAGATGAAACTCTAACATATGCAGATCAAAAGAAACCGCTTTATAGAGGCTGCAGGCCTGAGATGTTTGATATTCCTTTAGCGTTTGTCTGTGGCTCCATCCATCACAGCAGCACCTCTCTGTGTGTTTACCTGGACTTTCCAGAGGATTAGGGTGACTCTTTTTCTCATTTAGGAAGTGAAATTGCTCTATGTTCCTACTCTTCTCCTGTGCTACGTGATGAAACTCTTGCAAAGCGTCTCCTATGACCCCTCCTAAACATCTGAACCATGTTGCTGGGCCTTATAGAGCAACTTTCAAACTCATAAAAAACACTAATTGTTCTGAGGCTTGATTATTGATGATCTTATCGGGTGAAAGTGCGGTTGCTTTTCCGCTGATGAGACACTTCCTGAGGCCCCTGCGGAGCAGAGTGGGCCTCAGATGCCGGAACCACTCCGAGTGGACCGTCCTCCACATCCTAGATAAGATAAGCCTCTGATTGGGCTCCGCCAGGCCCACAGCAGCAGTCATGATAAAGCACCTTGACCTGAAACAAAAGCACAGTGCGCAGAGCTTTGGGGCAGATGCTGTCTGATAAAAACAAGAAAAAACATACAGAAGACTTTAGGTCTGACATTAGATCGATTAGGTTGTGAGTCCTCAGAATACAGTTACCTTTTATATTTATTGGAGAATATGTTTAGAATACTTATATATTAATAAGAAAATATGCATATAATGTTTAAGAGAAACACCATCAAAGATGGTTAACTGCAAATCTACCCGTCTAAAATAATACTGAACACATTTATTTAAACGTATTAAGCCATCACTACTTTTTCAGAGTATTCTACCAACTCAGAGCATTGGGCATGGTGACCTTAGGCTCATGTGTGACTACTACAAAGCATCCCATTCTATTAGCGAAGCTTTTCTATGGAGACTATATAAGCTGTGTGTACACACTCGATGGTGCACTTTAAAGTAGCTGAATTCACTATTTGGATAGGGTGTCTAGATACTTTTGGATATATAGTGTATAGTTTGTTAGCAAAGTTTTGTCTATCAGTTTACATTTGGCAGTAACAACTGAATCAACTAAATTCACTTCAGCAGCACTTACTGAAGCTCAGTGTTCTTAAGGCTACAGAACACATTTATAAACCTTTATAATAACTGATATAAACCTATATAGAAGTTATGAAGGCTTTTTTCCAACATATGTCAGTTATCATAACACTTGCTGAGGTGAAATGGCATCAAAGTTGGCAAAAGACAACTTTTTGACTATACATGTTGATCTAAGTCCTTATAATGTGTTATATGCGTTTGTTAGTTTCCATTAGAAACGTATGTAGGTATCATATAGCTCAGCAAAGTGTTACCCTACATTTAATAACTTTCTCCAGTGAATGAAAAAAGATCCAAAATGGTGTGATTAATTGCTGACAATTTTCTTGTGACTATTGAATCAATATTAGTGCCAGGCATCGTGCTACTGAAGAGCAAGTCTAACAAACAGCATGAACTGTGAATGTATTTTTAAATGCATGTATTCTCTTTGACTGCCTCAGAGGTTGTGTAGAAAAGGTCAGCTAATTTTAGCACCCGAGACCACGGAAATGATCCTCTGAAGCCTACAAATAGATAAAAGTGTCTTTAAATAGATCAGAGCTGCTTGTCCTGGAGAACTTCAGAGCTGGAGAACTGATTTCTGCTATTAAAGTAATGCATTGCATTGACGTCATTCAAATGTGTACATCATTTCCACATTAATAAGATATATTACATCATCATCAGTTCTGTCTTTTCTTTTACTTATTTCTGCCATGTTCATCAAATTTCCAACTCAGGCCATCTGGTTGACTAAAATGATCAGAAGCACAAAGGACAATTTAGAAGCACTTAGAGGAGTACATATGGAAATATAGAATTATTCAAAAATAAACTGGCTTCATGTAGATATTCAGTACAGTGAGAACTGACAGAATGTGAACATAGACACATTTAGAGCACATTCCCAGCCTAAAATCCCTGCTTTATTACACAATAAGGCTTATTATTCAGTAACTACAGGGACTTCAATGCAAACTGGTTGAGCTACTCTTAGGTTATAGAAGTGTATAATAAAACTTCGGGCCTCCTGGTGGGCTCTGGTCATTTAAAAGGTAGGACGGGAAATGAGAAAAAGACATTAACTTCAGCTTCATCTAATCTCTATCCACTGTACAAGAGTGTTACAATCAGCAAGCTAGGGCTGGACCACTTAAGGTGGGGGCCACTGTTATAACCCCTTAATCATAACACATACACACATTTATAGTTCATCTGAGCGTTCTTTTGCTTATATACGCGAGTGTACACTAGCTCACAGCAACCAGCTCAAAACACTACCGGCCCACTGGGAATACTCCCAACGCTCCCAGTTACCCACTCCGGCAATGGAAACAGGCAATATTAGCTGATAGCGATCAGGCTTACCTTTCTCACAGTTCAGTCACTGTTTTTTGTAGAGCCTGTTTTCAGTCAAAGAATTAATGTAAGCTCTACATTTCTACCATACTTTCTTTCTGGGTTTCAAGAAGGAAGAACTGGTGGTAATTTGTTATTAATTATAATAAATTCACATATTTATTCATATGTTGTTATTTACAAATTCAGCAAGTGCCCATTGGCTTTTATTATAAGTGAGTTTCAAGTCAACAGGCCCCAAGTTTATTCTCAGGTTATTTTTAAGGGGTTTATTTTTTGGCGACTTGACATTAAAGTTGTGTGTATATATATATATATATATATATATATATATATATATATATATATATATATATATATACCTACATTTCAATACATAGCTTCACAAGAGCTGATGCTAAAGCTAACATCAAAGGTAACACTGGAGATGCAAGGTTACACAACATCGTTTAGCAAAGTTTAATGAAACAATACAAATGATGCCACATATAAATGCATTAATGTTTATCGTTACACAGTGTTTTAATTGCAGATGTGAGCACTATACAGTCCTGTTTAATCTACCAATCTAACTTAATAATTAACATTTCAAAGTGTTTTACAAACAGGTGATAAAGTTTAACAGCAAGAAGAAATTATGAGTATTCAATTTAGATTATATAAGGCAGACAGATTCAATTGAAAAGACAGGTACCAAAAGAGAGGCAGAATTTTAATTAAATGCTAAATTAAAGAGAAACATTTTCAAATGTTTATTAAAAGTGTGCACTGTGCTTCACTGTCTATTCCACAGTTTAACATCAGAAAGAGTCTCTCCATGTTTTCTGTATTTTACAGAAGGTATTTCTAGAAGGTCATGTGCTGGAACATAAACAGAAGACAGGAGCTTTAAGGTCATTTAGAGCCTTAAAAACTGGTAGCAGAATCTATCCTGAATGATACAGGTAGCCAGTGCAGTTCTTTCCAAACAGGTGTGAGATGAGGTCTCTTTGTTGTTGTTTTTTTTAGGATCTATGGTGCTGCATTTTCTTACCCACCTAACTGAGTGGATCTTAATGTTGTTCTGTAACATTAGATCGTTAGATATCATATTAAAATCAGTATTAGCAAATGCAGAAACCCAGATAAAGGTTATCTTGGAGCTGCTGGGTTGTAGTGTTTTCTATTGAGCTGTGAGTGTGGTCTTCCCATAGATCAGGGGTCGACAACATGTGGCTCTTTTACTTATACTAGTACATCAGCACATACTGAGACATATTTACAGCCAAGATGGTAAAACTTTACTTCAATAAAATGGACATAAAATATTGCGGCTCCCAAGGTGGTTTGATTTTTGTTGAAAAGGACAAAATGGGTCTTCTTGACGTTTGGGTTACTGACTCCTGCCAAAGATTAATCTAAAACTTTGTCCGCTTTGGGAATGAAATAAAAACAGCCCCAGCCTTCCGATGGTCAGGATAGCGTTTGTCTGAGTGACACATTTCTGCAATGGCAGACAAAGTACTTAACCCTCTATTGCACGATGTTGCCTCAGGGCAACAAACTCATTTTGCTCACTTTATAATAATGTTATACATATTTAAAGACAATGATAGGGTTAGAAATAAAGGGAGTTTCAGTAAGTCAATAAAAAGCATGTGTTTGGTCATACTATCTCTTAGTGGACACATTTAAACCTTTTTTTTAATGTTCAGTATGAATTTTTTTTGTTATGTGAATTTGCAGAAATATGTTTGGTGCCTAGAAGCAACACTGCAAGACAGTGGAATGGATTTAGCCAGTCACAAGCCACCACTTAAGGGAACACAGCTCTATATCATTTCTTCTCATTGTCGCACAATGTTGCCTCAAGGCAACATACTCCAAAAGCACCCATGTACACATTATTATTATTATTATTATTATTATTATTATTTTAATGTTTTTGAATTTGATAATCGGGTCTGAAAAAATAAATCAAGGATCATTTTATGCAAGTAAAGTGAATTGAACATATTTTTTGCTCTTATAATGTGTGCAGTAGAGGGTTAAAGTATACAGTAGATAACATTGGTGAAATATTACTTAGTTACTTAAGTTGTAAGATATTCCAACAATCCAACATGTCTTTTCTTGTGTCTTCTGCTCTGAAAATGGGTAAAATTCCACTCCCTATCCAGACTCCTGAGTATTTTACATTCAATTATATTTTATTTATGTGGAAATGATGTATTTATCTGAATGAAGTAAAATGATTGCATCACTTTTTCAATGTAAAATTGAGTTTTATGTCTTATTTTATTAATATGAGGAGAAAATGGTCGTAGATCAGCTAACTCAGCTTCTCTGAGATGCCCTGTGAGCCTGTGTTTACAGTGCCAGCAGTGTATTAGCTTTGTTTACATATATATCTTATGTCTTAATGTGTCTTTTTCTCTTCAGGATCACGACAGTGACAGCGCTGCTCTGTGTCTGAAGAACAGGTCGTCCTTCGAACACCAACACCACCATCTGTTACACTGCCTGGAGAAGACCACGGTGAGGGCTCTGCTCAGGTTCATGTTTAAAAGGGCACAAGGCGGCCTTAAGCACCAAATGCCAAAGCAATAAATGTACAATGGCCAGACACAGAGGTGTGGCAAAGTGTTCACTCTCTGAAGAGAAACAGTATGCGAATTAGAATACATTCATCAGCCAAGTGTGTGAGGGATTTGACGTGGTGGAATTAGTAGACAATTCAGAAAATGAAAGGTTAACAAACCATACAAACAGCTATGCTTATGTGGAATCTTTCAAAATGAAAGCAGCGTATCAGATCTTCTCCTTCCAGTCTTTGGGACTCCCAGTTTGTTCTAAAGTTAAACCTGGTAGTCAAGCACTGCAGGACTATGTTTTACGTGAAAAACCTTTCTTAAAACTATCATAAAACAATATTCCAGGCCTGTTTTCAGTTTCATGTAATAATCTTCTGTGAAGGTTCCCATCACTACCACTGTGAACTATTCTGGCTGCTCTAGAATTGAGCATTTCACATCAAACCACTCTGAATGACTTTGTTTACATTTTATTCATTTAATTATGCAGAATTTGTGAAAGATTCCCCTTCAAAATCTGAGCTATTGACAAAATGTTTAACATGAAATATAATTTTTAAACTTAAATGCTTAAGATATATAAACTAAATGATGTTGGAGGTCAAACAACATCTAACTCAGTCAGGTTAATATTGCATTTGATGGTTTAAACATTCCTATCAAACCGCAATGATCTTGAAAGTCAGATGAATTCACCCAATTTAAGATAATGTGTACATTTGGAAAATATCTTGTGAAGCAAATCACAAAGATAGATAATATTGTATCAAATCATGTCTAATAATATGGCTACACTTGTCAATTTAAAATTCTGTTTCATTTTTTAAGTCTTCAGTTTGGGCTCTGTATAATTCACATGCAGCAAAGACACAAATGTTGCCTTTTCAGTGGTGCTTTCTGCCTGGAAATGATCATCAAAGGTGGTCAGTGTGGTAAAAGTCTGAGAACCCATCTAATGTCACTACTGTCTCTCCTTCTGCAGAACCATGAGTTCACAGACGAGCTGACCTACAGCGAGATGTGCATGACCGAGTCGGTGGGCTACCGCACCAGCCGCAGCACTTCCCTATCCAGCCAGCAGGGGGTGTCCTCATCCTGCTGTCCGCGCAGGGCGAAGAGGAGAGCCATCAGACTGGCCAACTCAACTGTGTCGGTCAGCCGTGGCAGCGTTCAGGAGCTGGACACACTGCAGGTGCAGAAAAGCTCGACTGGCCACCAGAGGTAAGTCACTAAAGCACCACTCATCTGGTGTCATATCACTGATACTGTGATTTCCAGCTATCACTACTACAGCGCTCACTCTAGCCACACTTAATAATTTGTGGAAGATCTTTACCTTTAAATTTCTTTTGAAGATTTTTATGAGACATTCAGAAATCAGTGGAATGGATGTGTTTTGATAAATAAATAAATGAAACTAATTTGCTGTGATAACTGCAATTAGTCTATAATCTATTAGTAATTATACAGTGATTATATTTCATTTCCAAACAAAGAAACATCTGTTTGTCTATGTAACCCTTAATTTTAATAAAGGTGGTTAAGCAGTGTAGACTTTACTGGATGAGTGTAAATTAGCCCAGTATAATAGCACCGCCTAGTGGTAACTCACAGCAATGGAGAATCTACTACGTGAGCTCCGTCTTTCCAGATAAGAGGCCCAGTATCTGCTGTTACAGTATGAAATCACTTTTGCAAGTTGATACCATCCAAACATGTGCAGTCAGATGCAAAGGTTTGGGCACCCCTGGCCAAATTACATGTTTTGTTGAATCCTCAAAAATCCTCAGAGAACACATTTCTGCACATTTTATGCACGCTTACTGTTTGTTTGCTAAAATTAACATATATGTTGGGAACAGAAATAAAAATATATGTGTTGAACTGTGCAAATAAATAGAAACTGTGCAGTAAAACCTGCAGAAAAATGGTAACTTTTTTCCATTGTGTCACAATTCTTAATCTGATAGACATATGTGTAGCAAAATACTTTAAGAATTATAAATGTAATAATAAATGAGTGGAAATAAGGACAACTAGTAACTGTGCTGCATAGGTAAACAAAAAATCACATGCCAGTAAAGAAGTGTTGAAAACAACCATTCCATTTGCTGCATACATGAATAACACTTTATTTGGAGTGGTCCTTTATAGGTGATTAATAAACTCTTCATCAGTATCAGTAATATCAGTAACACTTTAAAAAGTGCAGCAGTAGTGAAGCATCTGACCACACAGGATAGATTTTATAGTTCTGCCATCAGTTATTAAGGCTCTAAATGACATTAAAGCACCTGTTCACCTGTTCACAGAATGTCTGTCTGTTCATGTTCCAACCCGTGATCTTAGATCTGCAGATACTGACCTTCTGCAAATACCTTCTGTAAAATACAGAAAACATGGAGAGGCCTCGTTCAGATACTATACTTCTAAACTGTGGAATACACAGTCAAGCTCAGTGCACACTTTTAATGAACATTTGAAAACGTGGTAACACTTTATTTGGAGTGGTCCTTTATAGATGATTAATAAACTCTTAACAGAGTATCAGTAACACATTAACAACATATCAGTGAGGTATCAGCAGTGAAGCATCTGAACACATTGAAGTAAATATCTTGTAGATGTTCTGTTGATACATTATTTACATTAAGTAGATGAATTGTTAATATGTTACTTCCATTATGCAAAACCTAACCTTACCAACCTTACCCAATCCTAATCCTCACCCTGGCCCTAATCCTAAACCTAACCTTGACCTCAACCCAAAACCTAATCCTAACCCTCATATGTTTTTGACATGTTACTGAGAGTCCGTTAAGAGTTTGTTTCATCTAAAAAGGACCACTCAAAATAAAGTGTCACCCATACATGCAGGGCAGGTCAGTATTCCTTTCTATTTGCTCTTACTGACCATAACTAACTGAAACAACAATCTACAATCTGTTTTGGTTTTAATTAAAGTTTTAATATGAATGAAAATAACTGACAGCTATATAATAACTGATATCTGACAGCTTTTTTCCAACTCTTGTCCTTTTTTTGACAACCGTCCCACGACCCCTAAAACTGCTTACTTTAAAAAAGTATAGGGGACATGTCCCCCTCGTCCCCCCCAACCAGTGATCAAATTAAACCTTGAAAAAGAGTAACTGAAGGTTCTAAAGAACATAATAGAACTTTTTCTGTGTGTTTCACTCACCAGCCGCTCCAGCCTGAACGCCAGGACGGAGGACCTCAAGTTAAACTGTGAGCAGCGAGATTACACAGCGGCCATTATCAGCATCCCCACACCTCCCGCCAACACGCCGGACGAGAGCCTGCCGCCATCGCCCGCCGTGCCGGGCATCCTGCGCAACTCCCGCAGCACCTCCTCTTACACCCAGGAGGCCGTCAAGATCTCCTCCTTATAACCCCCCTCTCCAAGCACACGGGCTTACCCCCACCGCACAAAGAGGAAGGAGGGGGCTTCTCCTGCCAGACGTCCAGATACACCGCCCTCCCAAAAGAAAACAACAAACAACAAAGCAACATCCTCCGAAAAAAGCACCCGGCAACGTCTTCATCCAGACCCAGAGCTACCCCAACAAAGCAGAGCAGCGGCAGACGAGGTGGGAAAGAACAGAGCCGAAACCAACAGGGACTCTTCTGTCGGGAGTTTACTGGACTACGATTCTTTCGCAGACCTTCACTGTTGACTCTGGACGAGAAAGGGTAAACGAAAGAAAGAGAATTTCACTTTTTTTTTGGTTCGGAAATTGGACGCCATGGTCAGTCACACTGTATTGTTAGATATGCCCTTACACAGTCATGGTGGCACTGAAGGCCTTTTACTTTACCAGATATGCAAACAGGAATCAATGCCTATATGTTTAGTATGTGTACAACTGCAGGGAGAGATTATAAAGAGTACGAACACAAACATTATATTCCTATATAGAGACATCTTTACGGAGAGACGTGCGAATACTGTATTCTGCAATAGGTTTGCGAAAATCTATGGAAACTACAGTTGAGATTCAGCAGGGCAGTATATATGTATCATAATTTGTATCATACTTCACATGCATCTTCCAACCTTACCAAAACAACAACAACAACAAAAAAAGAGAGGGAGCAAGACAGAGTGAGTTGTTGGACCCACCCTACTCAGACATGCATGTCGTTGTACAGTAGATTGCAGAGAATGGAGCAGCTAAAGACGCTACCCCACCTATTTTTGCATGGTGATTTTTTTCCCTCTGTTTTCTTTGGATCTGTTTTCTTTTATTTCCTGACATCAGTGAAAAAAAAAAGAACATTTATAGAATACTACTGATCAAAACCGCTGCACCAAAAGTGCACAATAACAAATAAAAAAAGAAAGAAAAATAATAATAATAATAATAATAATAAAAAAAAACAAAAAAAAAACATTCAGGCATGTTCTTTGCGGAAAACTTTCAGCCCGAGTGTATGACTCCAGGTGCGTGAGAGTGAGGTTGGTGGATAGGACTTGTGTACATTGATCACAAATATGCATGGATACCGTTGTAGGTATGTTTCTTTTTTTTAAAAAAACGTGTTTGCTCCTTTGGGACGTAAATAGCAGCCGAGAGATTTTACAGCATCTTACTGTATGTCATGATGAACGGAGGTGGATTAAAGGACTGACCACGGTCATTCGGTTCACCCAAACTCATAACTGGGATTTATTTAAGTCCGTTCGGTTGGCCTTGTCTCATTTTCTCATGGTTGTGCATCAGTGCTGCCAGACTATTTTCCATTTTAGTTTGTCTCAGAGTTCATGTAACCGCTAATTATTCGCACACAACAGCAATGAAACTGGCAATAAAAATGTCATTATTTTAGTAAAAGCAAACTGTTTCATTTTCCATGAAAACGACATGAACTTGCACTTGACTGTGATGAAGAAATGTATTTTGCGACTCTGTTTACAGGCATTGTTCCACGGTTATGTTTATCTTTGTTTGTTTGTTTGATTGTTTGTTTGTTCATTCTTTTCCATCCTGTTGTATTTGGGGACGGGCTTGGAGCTGGTCGGACACCTGCCTTTGTTTCAGCATACAGAGACTGTATGGACGGCGCGCAGTAGGAGGATGAATGAGAGTCAGATATGAAAAGCACAGAGGTGTATAGTCTATTCCACAAATAAAGTGAACAGAACTCAGTAAACTTTATGTCTGTTGTCATTCGCAGCACTGACCACGTACGAGAATTTAAAAAAATCTGCATAAACAAAGTCATTCGGAGCAGTTTGATGTGAAACGTCCATTTCTGGAGAGGCTGAATTCACAGTGGTGGTGATAAGTAGGTAAATAAACACATTTTCTACACCGTTATCCTCCTGGGAAGGTAGATAAATACATAAATAAAAAAGAAAAATGCAAAGCAGTGAAAGCAGAACAAAGACAAAATGATTTGTGTTTTATCTCATCAACATCATTGTTTTTTGAAAATATATGCTTATACTGAGATTACTGCCTCCAATATGTTCCAAAAATATAATATATTTGAGACAAGGGCAAATTAAGATGAGGAACACTATAAAATGTTCAAAAAACATCTGTAATAGGTGATTTGATCATGCTTGAATAAAAAAAGGAGCATCCATTAAAGGCCTAGTCTTTATGGATCGAGGCTCACCACTCTCCAAAAAACACATCAGCAAAAAATCCAGCTGTTTGAATATTTCTCAGTGAGCAGTTGCAAGGATTTTAGGTATTTTGCCCTCTACAGTGCATAATATCATCAAAAGATTCAGGAACTGGAGAGATACATCTGTGCGTAAAGGAAAAGGCCGGAAACCAGAATGAATGTCCGTGAATTTTGATCCCTCAGACAACACTGCATTAAAGACCGACATGTTTCTGTGATGGATATTTTCACCACCACTGTGTAGATTGCAGAGAATGGAGCAGCTAAAGATGCCACCCCACCTATTTTTGCATGGTGTTTTTTTCCCTGTGTTTTCTTTGGATCTGTTTTATTCTATTTCCTGACGTCAGTGCAAAAAGAACATTTATGGAATACTACTGATTAAAACCGCTGCACCAAAAGATTCAGGGAACGCAGAGAAACATCTGTGCGTAAAGGACAAGGCCGCAAACCAAAATAAATGCCTGTGAACTTCATTCCCTCAGACAGCCCTGCATTAAGGACTGACATGTTTCCACGATGGACATTTTGCTTCATGAGACAGGGCCCTGGTTCCCATCACCACCATGGTAATGAAATCGGTTGGTAAGTTTCCCTACAATGAACCATTTCACACCAAACCACTCTGAATAACGTTCAACGACTTCAATGACATCTCAACGACTGTTTTATGCAAACATTTTTGAAAAATTGGTTAAGACACCTTTAAGGCAAAGGTTGTGTGATTGTGTTTAGTAAAGAATTTTTTTTTTCCTTTTGGGATTTTAGACCTTGAAAACTTTACCACATAACTAAATAAATATATAAATTTAAAACTAGTAATAATAATAATTTCCCCTTACCTACACATATTTCATCAGCCGAGGAATGGTTGGCATCAAAAGTTAGCTTTTTAAGTTTTACACTGGAGTCTGCAGTGTTCTAGCTGGCAATGCCCCTGTCTAAAATCTCCAAAAATGAGAGGGAACCTCATAAACAATATTTAACATTACTTTAAAAAACTTGATAACACTTCATTTGAAGACTTCAACTTAATAACACATACATAAGCACTGAACAAGCAATCATCTTTTAGTGTTCATGAAAAGCCTATATCAGTATTCACAAGATGACATAAGATGATATTTAGCCTTAAGACATATTTCATAGAAACTACACAGTGTGTTCTTAACTAGGCCTCTGCCTTGTAAGGTCTTTATATATGCTGTAAGAGTGTTATTAATAAACATTATTACAATGTTATTTACCTCAGAAAATATCCAGTGTCATCTTATGTACTATTGTGTAGTGCGCTGCTGTTGTGTGTTGCTCCATGGGGCTGAAGAACAACATTTCGTCACAATGTATACCGTAAGTCATATTGAGGACTGACAGTAAAGAGCACTTGACTTGACCAGAATACTGACACAAGCTGTTCAAATATTGCTTTAGAGTTAAGTTATTCAGTGTCCCTATGAAGGCCTTCAAATAAAGTGCTACCAAAGTGTGTGAGATGATTTAGGCATGTATTTTGCACAATACTAATTAGTGGACATAAGCTTTCATTGCTTGTAAACTGCACTAGCCTCTTAGCTCCAGCGCAGAACTACAGGAGCACCAAACAAGTCTATAGACAACAACGTTTAAGATATAGAGGAAACTGTGGAAATGTTTTTTTTTTTAACACTCCTGAAGAGCATGAGGAAGAACCACTGAAAAGACTCCAAAAGGGAGCCACACTGCAGAGTCCAGTTAAGATACAAGTAACATAATTAACCCTCTGGGGTCCACAAACTCACCTGTGCCTCAAATTCAATGTTTCTATGTTTCTCTATATGTACAGTAATACAGCACAGAAATACAGTTCAAATATTTCCTGAATCTGTAGAGTCGTCCTTTCACATCCAGAGCTATGACCCTATGAAGAGGGGTTGAGAAACATGTGATCTGCCTCTCACCATGTAATTGGTGGATTTGTGTAGCCATTTACATTTTGTGTGAATCTGACCAATGAGCACTCAAGAAATCACTAAGGTCTGACCCGTCACGTCAGAAACCCTTCACTCTTCATTCAGTCCACATGTATGGCATACAAAGAGTTTACAGCTGTTGAAGTTGCTCAGGCGGTCTTTTTTAAAGTAGCGACAAAGATTTTGATATAAAACACATGGATATCATGTTATATGCAAGAGACTGTAAAGGCGAATTTAAGAAAATCGAAAACTGAGAAAATGTGCTCAGACCCCAGAGGGTTAAACAGAGGATCATACAGAGGAAAGATCAGAGAGAAAAGTCAATGAGTAGAGTTAGAAATCAGTCAGATCTGATGCTGGGCAAATATCTGATGGCAGATATGAGAATATGGTGGGGAAGAAGTTCAATATGAGTGGGTGAGCTGACTGACTGAATTCTTCCATTGATTTATTCTGCCTTCTGTCCACTGATATAGACTACACAGTTGAAGATCTGAGATGCTCTCTTCATTTAGCAGTTGGAATGAGCTGTCAGGTGCCAGCTGCATATTGGGAAAGCTGGCAGAGTGATGGCATTGTCTTTTATGCTGTTTTTAGTTTTAAATGAACCTGTCAGGAGTCAGAATCTCCAGACTAAGTATGATTAGGTACAAGGCGTGCACTTGAATGTAAGACCTAATGTTGGCTTTACATGGTAAAACTTACATGCAGCTAGTTACTTGTTAGTTGCCTGCAACACAATTTCTGAGCAATTTGGTAGTTACATGAAACAATACAAAAACAATCAAAGTTGCACACAACACACTCAATTACTCCACTAGTTAGCTAAATTAGCAGCTCATATTATTGATACACTGTTTATTTTACATTTGCAGCTTTTTTATCCATTTTAGCCAGTTTTTCTATATCTGTAGGCCTATATCTGTCTTTTGTTTAGGATTCTTTACTATATGCTTGAGTTTTTTATTTATTGTATACATGTTTAACCTTTGAGAATTAATGCATGAAAATAGCTGTTAAAGTTATAGCCTACTTAATGCTCTTGATTCTGTCCTAGAAGCACAACAAGTTCATTGCGGGCCTAATTAATCTTCCTTTCTGTAATAATCTTTATCCTTTGGATCCCAAATGAATTCAAGCTCAGTGTAAACGTAGGCGGTATCAAGAGAGGAGATAATGAATACATCTGCGTAAATCACAAGAAACAAGAATAAATGCTGCATAGTTGGCTGTTAAAACAGCTGGCAGCATTAGCTGGCCAGGTAATGCAGCTGGTTACAGAAATTCTGGCTTCAGGAAGCTGACGAACTGAAAAACTACCAGTCTTGAGTCAGTTTTCTTCTCTATTGATCCAGTGAACTTAATGGTTTGAAGGTAAGTTGTTGGATGGGTTCATGTGACGCGATATTGCCGTTGTTAAACCCACAGAAACCATTAAATGTTTTGGTTGGTGCTGTCTTTTGGCTATTTTTAATGGGTTGATGTCACAATGTAAAGGATCCTAATAGTTTAACAGGCTGATTCTCTCTTTTGATAATGGTGTCTGGGATCTAAAGGTGTTCCACAGGAAACTAGTGGTCTCCACTGGAAACTTTTAATCCAATTCCCATTAGAAAGTAATAGCATTAGTTTTTAATCCTAATGGTTTCTAATTGTCCTTTTTCAACAGGGAAGTAAGCTGTAAGATGCTTAACATTATGCAACTCAAGTGCAATTTAGTTTCATGTACATTTCAAGCAACTTAAGTTGCATGAAGGGTTCATAGTGTAAAGACAAGCTAACAATACTTCAGCAGTTACCATAGTAACCAGTATGGCTGTGACAGAAATGGATCCCTGTACTTCCTTTAGTTAATTAGCCTTGTGCTATATGAGGAAAACTGTAGTTTACTAAAAAATGTTAAAAACATGTGAATCGATAAGTGAATTCGAACACTTTCTCATCATGAACTCCTTAAAATCACAGGCCTATTACATACTAAGGCTTATTATTCAGCCAATACAGGGACGTCAGTGCAAACTGGTTGAGCTACTTAGGTTATAGAAGTGTGTAATAAAACTTTGGGCCTGCTGGTGGACCCTGGCCTTATGTCAGCATTCACCAGTCGCATCAACAAACCAAAATGAGCTGTCTTTGAGGTTGAAGTTGGCTTTTTATTCGTAGCTATAGACATGAGTGTAACATCAAGAAAGCTGCAGAAGACGACGAGAAGGTAAAACACTCACTAAGGGTACATATTTCAGTCTTGGTCCATGACCTTGGTTCAGTCTTGGTCCAGTTACCTTCAGTTAACAGCCAGTGTGTTTGTTACATGATGAGCAGAAGTAAGATCTTCATTTTTAGGAGCTGCCGTTTCTTGTAGTGTTTCTTCAGAAAGTAGAGAGGCTGAGTTTCCTTTTCAGTGGCTCAACATACATTATTAACATTAACTGATGTTCCTCTGCCTCAGTAACGAGAGACTCGCAATGCACTTTAATATACAGCTGATATAATGATCTGCATCGCTCACTAGAAATTAAAAGTGCATTGTAGGAGACTTTAACTACACACTTAAAAATGA